ATTTACGGCAAATTATCAGATAGTTAGTTTGGGTTTAGCTGGTTTCCGTAATTGGTTGTCAGAAGGTGCCCTGCTAACTTCCGTGGAAGTTATATTTTTTAAAATATGTCCGCGGCAAAATTACTCTTTTCACGGATATTTTACGGATAATTAACGGCAAATTATCCGATAGGAATTTTTGCTTTGAGAAAAAGTTGTCTTGCCAACTTCAGAGAGGTGCCGAACCGGCTATTCCAGCCGATGAGCGTAACAGCCTTCGTCAGGCAGATCCCGCAGATCCCCGTATCAGGGATCTCTGCGCGGAGATTCGGCAACTAGTGAACGTACATAAGCGGAAGAAGTGGGAAGAGCATCTGAAGACCTGTAACTTCACCTCTGTTGTGAGTAAGCTTTGGTCAACCGTGAGGTCACTGACCAATCCGACGAAGCACGACGACAGAGTCGAAATTTCTTTCGGCGACCATGTTTCGTCGGACCCGGAGCGATATGTGAGCTATTTTAGCCGGCTGTTCATACCGCATCCTCCGGTGGACAAAGGCAAGCGTCGAGTGAACAGAAGGCTGCACAAACTGCCAACAACTTGTGCCCCTCTTTCTTTCACTTGCGGTAAAGTTCAGGTGGCCATCGGCAAATGCTGAAAAATTTGGGTCCTGCGGGAGTAGCGTACCTAACGGAGGTCCTCAATTTGTCAATGGCCACTCTCATCATCCCAGATATCTGGAAGATGGGGAGAGTGGTCCCACTGCTCAAACCGGTGAAACCTGCCAACAAAGGAGATTCGTATCGACCGATAACACTCCTTTCCCCGGTAGCGAAGACACTCGAGGCTTTGCTGTTCCCGTATTTCACGAACCACCTGACCCCTGCGAAGCATCAGCATGGTTTCCGTAAAGTCCACAGTACAACAACAGCACTCAACGCCATAAACGCCCAGATAACTCGTGGCCTTAATCGTAACCGTCCCTGTGAGAGAACGATTCAAGTATCGTTGGACTTGTCAAAGGCGTTTGACACTGTCAGCCATTCCACGCTACTAGAAGATATAGAGGCTTCCTCTCTCCCACAAAGGCTCAAACGGTGGTCGGCAAATTATCGGAGTGGTCGACACTCGTCGGTAATGTTTAGAGACAAATCGAGTGAACTCAGGAAAATAAAACAGGGGGTTCCACAGTGGTGTCCTTTCCCCGCTACTGTTCATCTTTTATATTTCAAAGCTCCCTCAACCACCAGCGGGAGTCTCGATTGTCTCTTACGCCGAATATTGCTCGCTCATGGCGACTAGGAATGGAATTGATGACTTGTGTTCGAAATTAAACGGGTATCTCTCCGAGCTTTCTCGCTTCTTCACTGCAAAGTGCCAGCTCTCTCCCCTACGAAATCCTCTGCGACCTTATTGACCATCAGGACGAAGGAATTCAGGCTACCGCTGGGAATTCACGTCTATGGTACACAGATTTCGACGGTGAATAACCCCAAAATACACGGAGTAACATTCGACAGCCTGCTCTCCTTCTCTGCGCACGCAACCGCTATTGTCAATAAAGTACAGAGCCGCAACAAGATCCTCAAGTCGCTAGCCGACAGTACTTGGGGCAAATACAAAGAAACGTTGCTGGCAACATACAAGGCAATAGGCCGGCCGGTTTTAAACTACGCAGCACTAGTGTGGTCGCCGGGGACTAGTAGGATCCAGTGGACGAATCTACAGACAACATAAAATACCGCACTCAGGACTGCGACTGGATGCCTCCTGATGTCGCCAGAACACCACCTTCATGACGAGGCGAAAATGCTCCCAGTCAAGGAGCATAACATAATGCTCTGCAAGCAGTTTCTGGTTGGGAGCAACAGATGTGGCCACCCAAACAGACAGCTGCTTGCAGAGGAGCCCTCGCCTAGGCACGTCACGAGCTGACGGACGAAGTCCAGAGGTTCATTAAGCAGCCTCTGGACCCGTCAGCACGACGACAGAACCTGAACGGCATTCACAGGGAGTCAGTCTCGAGTTATGTAGACTCCAGACCTGTGAATGCCGTTCTAGGCACACAACCACCGGACATTGACGAGACGGAGCTTCATCTGCCTCGGGAGACAAGAACCACAATAGCCCAACTTCGCTCTGGCTACTGCAGCAGGTTAAACTCATACCTGATCAGACTAAACGCGGATGTGCCAAATGAGTGTCCGGCATGCGGAGAGACCCCTCACGGCTCGAAACATCTCTTCGCATTCCCGGAAAACCCAACAACCCTAACGGCGTCGTTCCTATGGACCAACTCCATAGAGGCTGCACGCTTCTTAGGGCTGCCGTTAGGGGAACTTGACGACAACGACTGAGATACCAACTGATCTGGGCGGGGTTGTTGTAGCCGCTACAACAACAACAACAACATCAGCCCGTATAAAATAAAAAGACCAATTACCTCCTTTAACACTTTACATTTTAAATAAAGAAGGTGTGAACCACGTAAGTAAGAAAAGTACCTAGCACTGATAATGGATTTTGATTTGAAATGTTATTACATTGGTATAAATATGGGAATGAAAATACTCCGATTTATTTTTTTTAATATTATCAAAGTGGCAAGGCCGTTGTTAACACTCACAATTTATGAAATTTTTGAACCTTTGACTTTGAACTATTGAAAAGCTACTCAGAACAGTTTTAATATTTACTTTTTTCGAATATTCAATTTTTTCGACTTGTTTGTGTTTTTGGCGCTATATTGCAGAACTTTTTTCCTTTTCAGGAACTACAACTATTGAGAAGCTACTCAGAAAATTTTTTTATTCGCCTTTTTGCACATATCATATCGATCGCTGCGTGAATCTGGCATACACAACTTTTGAACCAATTTTTTTTTGTCAAAATAACCAGAACTTTTTTTCCTTTTCAAGAACTGTAGAACTATTGAATATCAGAACAGTTTTTTTTGTCTTTTTTCATTATACCGTATGCCAACAACAAAAAATAAAAAAACCAAAAAAGTTTTTTTCTAATAGCGGTCGCCCCTCGGCAGACAATGGTAAACCTCCGAGTGTATTTCTGC